ATAGGGCTTTTCGCACCGCGGGAACCTTTTCATAGTACCAGAACTAATTGTGGAACTACCCACTTTTTGGCGTTTTCGCACCGCCGGAACTGGGTGCGATTTTAGTACCGGACTGCCTTTTTCGAGAACCAAATTAGCTCCTACTCCGGAGCAGGGTCTAACCAGCACAACTGGTACTTGTCGTGACGTAAGTAGACATTGATTGGCCAAACGCGTATGAAAACGCCCTCACCCGCCATGATTTAAAACGCCATGTAAACATTGTGTCAACATTGTGTCAACTTATTTCGCAAGTATGGAGAACAGCGATAGATGGACGGCCGCTGAAGTGCAGGCACTTGTAGCACTGTCAGTTGTCGTTGGAGATTCTTAGTCCTCCTTTCCGTTCTTTCAATCGCTTTACGTATACGTCGACTTTCCATGTCCATTATTGTGAAACCCGCGAGACACAACAAACACACAGCTCCGATCACAGCGTCCTCCTGTTGTTAATGTTGTTCTTTGTTTCTGTTGTTGAACGCCGCGCACAAATGACGGCTTACGTCACTTCTTAGTACACACTGTCGGTGCGAATGCAACCCTTTAAATGGTACTGGGAAATAGTTCGCGCAAAATCGTCCCAGTACTTTAGTACTGTACATTTAGTTCTGGAACTAAAGCGGTGCGAAAGTCCCTATTGCTCCATTATCAGACCCAAGCCCCTGTTTACCTGTATACTCTTGAATATAGAGCTCAATGGTGCTGATTCAAATTAAACTCATCTTTTTAACGTTTTGATCCTCATGGATTACAATTGTTCTTTTTTTCTCCGTGTCACTGATATAGCGCTCAAATTCTTTCCCGGGGAAAGTAGGTGGACCTCGCAACTTCAATGTGGGGAACTGGGAGTTATGGGGTGGAGACTCATGGGTAATTAATTCCTCAGTGTGCCAAAGTGCATGAACTATTCAACAGTTGGGGGTCATAACCCAGTAATGATGTGCTTGACGACAAGTTATCAATCTGTGCTTATCTGGCTAACTCTAACACTAATTCAGCTTAATACGACATTAACAACGACGTTGATTCAACGTTTTGTAAAACTCAATAATGAGTATGAAGAAATATCTTAACAGTTGGCTTGGCTTGGAAACCTTTGATTGGTATCGATTTTCTTCTGCCAGCAAATCTTACCCCATTCAAGCATTTGGCCAGAGCAAATGGAAATTTGAATTAGTTTACAATTCTGATGAAAAAGGCCAAACAGAACATACTAGTTCTTCAGCTGAACAAATTCTAAACTAATAAGAATCTTGTGCACAAAAAATATGCCATGGTCAAATCTCTTGATGGTGAGCGGGGCCAGATGTGCTGGCTGGAAGAGAACCAGGAGAGTTGACTAAATCTAACAATGATATTTCCGTATTCTGGTTTGGAAGAGTTTAGACAGTTCAATTTGGGGCAAATAAATCTTTGCTCTTTTCGTGGAATTTTTGTTCTAACAAACTGAGAACAACACATTTCTGTAGCTCCGTTTGTAATTAAATTGGAACTTTATGACATAAAAAATTTGATCCCCCTGCTGAGTAGTTCTGTAATGTGGTATCCCTCATACATCCCTCCCCTTCAAACACTAGACATGACCGAAGAGAAAACACTAAACACCCGTTACAGTGAACATTAGCTGATGTTTCTCGTTTAGTCAGTGTTGAAAATGCTCTCTTGTTTTTAGGCTCTAAATAGTGGATTTATGCGTTCATTTATTATGCTTACTTCATTATTTGTAACATCCATAAATGGTGTTGCAGATGTTAAATATTAAATATATGTAATTGCTTAAAATTAGGACTGTCTTGATTCAATCAATAAAACTAAAAATCTTTTATAAATGAAAATATTTCATGAATCAATTGTATGGTGGAGCTGAGATCTATGGACGAGGATAAGAACAAGAAAATAAAAAGTTATCTTAAGTAGCAATAATATTTATTTTTATTACATTGTTATTACAAATGTATTAAATACTTGTTTAGCGTAATACTTTTAGTGTTTTAAATAAATTAAAGTAGGTTAAAAATGTTTGGTTTGCTGTTATTTATTTATTTATTTTTATTTAATAAATGTGTAATCCAGGACTATTCAATTGGCGGCCCGCCAGTCATCTTCATGCACATGTGTACACTACACGCAGGTCGCACATACGCCTTCAATTGTTTTTGCACTAATTAGTTTGTCCACAAAGTGGCTACACTGGCCCGGGCCATTGTTTCACAGCCGAAAAAGAAAAGGAAGAGACGCAACAACAGCAATCTACCGGTGACCGAACATCAACAGCTTGCGTGAGGGGGTTATGAGATATCCACAACTCTAGTTTAAACGAGTATAAAGACAGTGGTATCAGTCATAACTTCTGGACAGAAAAAGCGCAGACACTAGACGAGGATGGTTAGCAAATGGAGTATAGTTTGAAAGTCTCTGTACTTGCTGTTCGTATGCTGTACGCATACGGTGAGCCGCTTCAGACAGCGCACTAGTAGCGCTTCAACAGACAAAAACACACATAATGATGATGAAATACGACGAGTGACCTCGTAAACACGGTCTTAAATAAGTTATAAGGTCCATAATGACTGTAAAGAGTTGGGAGAAAACCAGATGAGTGTAAGATCCGCGTCGTGCATCAGGTTTTAAAGAGGCAGCGCTGCTTTTAAAGTGAAACGTGCTGAAGTCTGTCACTGATGGAAATCAAAGAACAAAAGAAAAAGAGAAAGCACTTGACTGCTCTGCTCGCTGAGTAACTTTGGTAGCTTGAATAAAGATTAATCTATATAGCTTATGCATATACATTTTATAGTTTATTTGAAGATTGTTTTAAGTTCACTTTAAATATTTAAAATAATGGCTTTCAATTATACTGTGATGTTGAATGGCTATAATTAATGGCTAAAATTGAGGGAAAAATGCATTTAATAGAGACATCAGCAGCAGTATTGGTATCATTGATACTGGCCTTCATTAGTAATAGGCTACTTAGTAAAAAGATGCCATTAAACGCATATTTAAAATATACTCATTTTAACCGTTAACCGACCGTAAGAATTTTGACCGATTAATTAAATCAGTTAAATGGTTTAAAAGTCATTTATTTATTTATAAATTTTTTCAGTAATTTATCAAAATATTTTAAAAGGTTTGCTGCATGGTTAAAATTCGCTACGCGTATAAAAAAATGCGTTTTTAGAGAAAAAATAACATAGCCTAAGTCGCGTATAAGTCTCATTTTATTATTTCATTGAAAAATAGGCCTAATGCCGATGCGAAATGTTTACAAACATTATAATAAACAATGTAAACATAGCTAGGCTATTTTAGTTCCCTTCACTCCACAACAAATCCTTTCAATTTAACAGTATTTAGAAAAGAACAAGAATTAAAAATATAAGAAACTATAGCAATAGAAACGACAAGCCAAAATTAATTCATTTAGGCTAAAACGAAACTGAAACCTACGTTGGGTCTCTCATTCTACACACAATGAAATGTTTCCGTATTCACGATGTATTTGAATGCCAACATATTATTTATTATGTACTTCACTCGTGTTCCAATATCCAGGTAAAACAAAATGATTTACATCACGGCAGTACGTTGATAACGGTTAACGGCACAGATTTTACTATACATATTTAAACTGAGCAGTGTGTTTTTTTTCCATATGTTTGACTGACTGCATTTTATTATGATAATGAACAGGCTGCATTGCAGTGTTAATTTTGACAGCAAATTTTGATTTAGTTTTAGTCATAGTCTTTTGACTAAAATGCCATTTAGTTTTAGTCATATTTTAGTTCAGTGTTTCCCAACCTTTTTTTAGTCCCGGCACCCTTTGGAAATTTTAACAAACTTGTGGCACCCTACAAAATTAATTTTGTCACAATATTTGAATTTCTAACTTCGATATGATAATTTGAAAAGTATAGATATTCGGTAAAACAGGGAAGAACTGCAGAATATAATGTCATACAGATATTTTTTATATTATTAAAATATTTTGTCCATCAATGGTGATAATCAGTAGGCTCATTTCTAATGAAGAGACCAATTTATATGACAAATTTTAATGTTTATAACTAGCTATCTCACAAATTTTTGCTCACTCAGTGTTTTTTAAATTTTACAGTTGGGTAATTTTGGTGCAGTAGCACGAGATAGCTTGATTTCAAACTTTGAATTGAATAAAAAATGACAAGTAAGCAGTCAGTAATAAAATAAGAAATAAAGAAATTAATAATGATAGCACAAATAAAAAAAATAACGACAGGCCTTCGAATTAAAAATTTTTTTTTTTTTTTACCAATTATCCAAATAATGTTTAGTCCTAGAAAGCTATTATTATCAGAACACGCGAGCATAACATAGCGGTTAGCAGATCAATGAATGAGAGGGCAGCGTTACCAGAGTTGCATACCACACCATGTTACAACACAGTAGGGCTATTGCAGACAGAAACAATACTGTACTACATCGATGTTTCCTGTCGGCTCAATTTTTGAGTGGACTTTGCTGTTCCGATGAGCATGAACGATATACCAGTGGAGCGACTGAGCAGAGCACACACACGCATAGAG